GCCATGCAGGAGAGAGTATGGACGAGCCTGGATAATAAGTCGCTTGCGTTCGGTGGCAGTAAAGTCAGCAGGGAACTCGCCGGTAGCCAGATAATCTGCAATGCCTTGATACCATTCAGGAACAGCGTCGGCCGCAAAGCGATCGTGGTGTCGCAAGAAAACAGAGCAGCACCAGCTGGGTCATCCTCAAGATCCTGGGAGGAGGGAGGGCATGGCAATCGTGAAAGATCGGCCATGGCATGACCCTGCAACCGCGCCCGAAACTAACTCGAAAATTCTGCAACTGCAATTCTTGTCTCGAAAATTCGACTTAGCATAAGTAGTTTTGCTAAAAAATGGCCCGAGTGTGAGGGTGTTCGAGACTCTCGAGTGTACAAATTCGCAGCTACTTACGATCACGCTTTGCAAAGGACATCGACGTGGTCTATCAAAATCACCTGAGCACCAAGCAATACACAGCATTTCAAAGACTGAACCAAACAAGATGTTCAAGGTACGTACCCATCCAGAGTATTATCACTTGCATCAGCGGGCCTGGAGATATGCCCGCGGAGTGCTCAAAGCCACTTCTTGTCGCTTCTCACATGAGTATTCTTGTGGCCGAACCTCTAGAAGTTGCTCTAGGGCTGTTCCTGAACGGCTGCTACAATGGCTATGTGGATGCTGGGCATAGGGGGGAATTCATAGTGAAGCTCGTCCTCCTGCAGCTTGTTGGAGCTTGTACAAGGGTGACTACTACCTATGCCGCATTCCTCCCCGGGATTATCTCTGACGATTGCTGGGCTGGGGGAGGCACAGGTTGACGAGGCATGCAGCGGTCTGGATGAATCCGCTGCGGTCTCTATTAACAGTTTAAATTCTAGTTAAGCAGGGGGAGTTGAGCAGCTGCGTTGTAATCATGTACAAAGCCAACAATAACGTGCAAGTCATAGCAATCCAAATCAAAGTGGTGACAGTCCTCATCAGTGTCCAAGAACCAAAGAGCTAGTGCCAACAAAGGAAGGATGAGCTGCATAAGTCTTACTGGCAGGATGACGAAGCTTTGGCAAGAAGACAGTGCACAATAAACAATTTATGGTTTTGAACCCAACTTTTGTTTCCTTGGTGCTAAGACGAAGAAACTTCTAGTTTAATTTTCAATTGCAATGCCAGATACATAGGTGGAGGCTGGAAAGCAATTAGGTGAAGCCAAATCATAGCTCCATCATGACATGACATCACCAGAGTGTAAACACACTTTAATTTGCTCATATAATGCTCATTAATAAGCTAATATATGGTTATGAGCTTTTTAAGTATTCCATGAGTTTGAATTTACCTTTGGTTTGGATGCGCAGTGATCCAAGTAGCAACAAGCAAGGCTTACATGGACAGAGTAAACATGTACGTGAGCTTCTTCGTGGCTGTTCGCGTGGGTGGATTGGCATCCATCAAAATTCCAATCCATCCATCATTGAGGCTTCACGATCACAAGCTGGATCCTAAAGAACCCGAGTCGCCGGACTCGGTGCTACCAGTGCCATTGTGGATCGAGATTTGATCGATCATTCCTTCCACTTCTCCACTGACGTCTATCGATTAATTGGAACATAACCATTGTTAATCAGCCCAAAGAATATATTTGGCCCAAACCATATAAATTGACTATCCATGATGGGATCTGCACAGCAAACTCCCGAAGCAGAGGTTATGTAGAATTTGCTGCATTGCGTTAAACATGCTGTTTGAGCATATAAAAAAAAATGGTGGTGATACTCCTTTCATGGCAAAAAACCGCAGCCACCTTCGCAGGACTAGGACTGCTTGCCAAGATCAATTCTTGTGGTGGTCTGTTTTGCCACCTTTGCAGGACTAATTCAGGTGCAAGCTGATTTGACTAAAATAATATGGACCCCTACCAGGTATTTTGCCATGAAAGCCAGGAGTGCTGAGTAGCACTAGACCTGGCAGCAGCAACAAGAATAAGAAGTATGGAAGTATAGAATTAAAAGTATAGAAGAATAAGTAAGAATATTGGCTAAATTAGCCTTCTTAACATCAATCTTTAAGATTTAGATGATGGGATTGATCCACAACATCACCAGAATGTAAATATGTTTTAAATTTGTTTATATGGAACATTAGATGAATTTTTGAATTAATTGGCAAGTCCAAAATGCAAACAAAATCCCCCACACTATGAAATTGTCTAAGGCCCATAACATTGTGAAGACAATGTAGTGCCACCACCTCTTTTCAAAGACTATTTTGCATATAACAACTTAAGGAAAACTTTATCACCAACTTTGTACTCTTGATGATGATAATGTTCATTAGCTAATCTTTTATCTTGTTCTTGAGTTTGTTTCATGTTTAACTTTGTCAACTCAAATTTATCTTGTATATCCTCCAAGAAATAAAAAATATAAAGCGTTTTTAGCTTCCAAAAACAGTTCCAAAAAGGAAAGAACTTCGAACGTTTGAATCCAGATTTCTCGATGCAATTGGCGTAGCTTGGAGATCGCGACGCACTGCGCCAGATCACGCGGCCTCCAGGCTAAAAACCAAGTGGAAATCACAAGTGTGAGGTGATCGAGGGTGTGGAAATTCGCAACTACTTACAATTACATGTGCTTGCAGCGCTTTGCAAAGGACATCGACGTCGCTTTGTTCTAGCCAGTCGACGTGGTCCATCAAAATCACCTGAGCACCAAGCAATACACAGCATTTCACCAAATAAGAAGTTCCAGGTACGTACCTTGGTGTACATTCGCTTCGAAAGCTCCTCCACAAATGTGGCTGTCCGGATCAACAGGCACTCCTCCGCAGCAAGCCTTGTCTGCAACACAGCACAAAAGTCTTGAAATTCATGGCAAGTCGTTCGTGTGTAGTACCTTGAGTTTGTGGAAGTTTTCCTTTTCCAGGAAACGAGAACAGCAGTTGGATGAAAACTTCCCAGTCAGGCAGCAGCGGTAAAAGTAGTTGCTGTCCCGGAGATGTGAATACGCAGCTGTTGAATTTAGACAGCGGACAATGTAGCTGTGAAAACAAAGGACAAGTGGTTCAATGAGAATCACGCCTGAGAAAGATGTCTTACTTGTATAAGTTGCCCTCCTTGCGTAGCAGACGAAGCTGGCCTTTGCACACTCCAGCACAAAACCACATCGTGAATCTGTTGGTTACGAAGAAAGATACCATCTTCGCAAAAATTTCAGCTTGTGATAGCCAGTTTCCTACACAAGCGAACCTGCTCAGGCAATCAAAGTGAGACAGTTACTTTTGGTGCATGCGGATGCATTATACCAGAGCTCTCTTTGTTGTTGCAGTGTGGGCGCATTAACAAGAGACTCGATGAAGCGCTCCTGTGAAGAAAAACAACAGATTCAGATAACCTTGCTTGGCTGGAAGAAGAACCTTTCGTGTAAGCCTTGCAAGCGCCCTCACTGCTCGAATGAGTCGACCCATACCACCTGCATAACTTTGTAGATTAGAGGCATCATATCAAAGAGTAAGTTCCATGATACCGTGGTAGTACAATCCATCCTTGAAGTACCTGGCTTTTTTTCTCCTGGAATAAATAAACACAGCTCTTCACACGGAGATATAAGAAAATTTGCTACTTACCAGAAATTCACAGCCCCCTAGCACTTAGAATAAATTGTTGGATAAGTAAGAATCAATCTTTACTACAGTCTAGCAAGCAGCAAGAATTTAAATATGACTTCTATGCTACTAGTATTGAAAGTTTTGCTTTGCTAATCCTCACAATGCTTGTCCTATTACAAGAAGAACAGCAAACTCATAGGGGAAAAAATCCAAGGATGAAGAAATGTCATGCAAAATCAGAAAACATTCTTCTGCCATTGCCGCATGTTGACCTGATGTTTTTGTTATTGTACATACTTGCTACATTAGAAGCTTCAGAATCCTTAAATGGCGCTTGCAGTGATTCCCATTACTCGAGATCCAGA